GGGAGACTTGAGCTTTAATAGACATAAAGGCCAGGAATATATTATTATAGCTCTCGCTCGCAACATTTAAGTCGAACGAGGGAGGGGTAGACCCATAGCAACTGTCTTGGAGATCCTTAACAGATGGGTGAAGTGGAAAGGTCAAAATAGTGCAAATTTTTTAGAGCATCCGAGCAAAGGAATGAATGGAGAACCATGATCGTTGATGCCTGTCGCAGATCTGGTGGCCGCTGATGATTCTGTTCTCGATTTTGAACCTCATGTCTCTATCAAGTTGAGAGTCCAATCAAGAAGTGTACACACTGGAAGACCGTACGCTGTTAAGGTTGTTTTACACAAGGAATGAATTTGGGCCTAGAAAGAGAACGGGACTTCTGGTGTTTTTCAAAATCAAGAATTAAGTACGTTAATCCAAGTAGGATCCGTAACGAAAGCAATGGGATTGCAGGATATTTGTGTGTGAGTGTGTGCGTATGTGGATTTGTGGATTTGGTTAGCATGGCTGTGGGGAAGGAGGTCAGAGATGAGGGTGGATAGCTACTCGCGCGCATGTGTGTGTGTGTGTGTGTGTGTGTAAGTGTGTGTGTGTGTGTGTGTGTGTGTGTGTGTGTGTGTGTGTGTGTGTGTGTGTTAGATTCTCTCCAGATTTGGGGTCTTCATAGCACGGATTCTTTTTATAACTCCTCACACCTCCCCAGAGGAGTCCATCATAAGGATGTGATACTGATGGTCTCCATCTGATCGCTGATTCGGCTTCCTGGGTTGCGGGAGTTGACGAGTTTCCACTGCCCTTGCTGTATTCCTTTCTTTTTCAGTAATATATTCATTGTGAAGGAGCTGTCTTCTCTTTTGCTCGCCAGATGGTTACTCGCGAGTGCAGTCACAGTAAGAGGATCAAGTGTGAGAGACCCTTTAGAAAATTTTAAAAGGTAAAATATAAAGGCTTCTATCTCATTGGGGACCAAAACTCAGAATACATTGTAATTTGTAATGTATTAGGCCAAGGGGCCTAATCTTTTTATACAAAGTATTTTAAAAGGTAGACAACCCTGTAAAGTATCAGGCTGGAAAAACAATTTTGTAGCCGTTACTGCCCTTGTCAATGTTCTTTCTGCAAGAATGACTTTCTGCTGAACTTGAAATTTTTATTGTATTTTTCAACATTAGGTCCCCAGTATATTCCTGGGATCTTTTATCATTAGAAATGAATATTTTAGTCAGTCACATACTTTTGAAAACGAAAGTTAAGAAAAATTCGAAACTATCCTTTCATTTCCTAATTTAGAATTCAGTCAAGCTGACCGCATCCAACATGGCGATGCGATGAAATTTCAATTATGTGATAATACCCACTTGTGGATATCTCATCGACACTAATACGTGCTCAGGATTTCGCACCCTATTTTTGTGAGTATTTTAAAGAAATATTATGCATGTGTACTACTTTTCTAATCAGGGTTAGGTGCAAGTTAGATTATTAACGGATAAATCTGCCGATATTTTCATGCCTTCTCACTGACTGTTCTGCTGTCGCTTCCCACAACTTCCAGCAATAGGTGGCATTTCTTCAGTCGGCATGTTTGGGTTGAGCCAGTGTTTGTGATCAGTTCCGTTCCCAATGTATGATTTTTGTCAAATGTTCTTCTTTCCCTTCATGTTGAACCGTATGAGAAATTATACATAAATATATATTTACAATGACTAAACCTGTAGACTGAACACAGCACTGTGGCCAAATTGCACAGCAGACTGAGATTGATCATCGCATCGTGATTGAAGTTTATGTTCATCTGCATTTTCATCATCCACTCATCATTTGTTGCTGCTGAAAAACTTCCACCTTCCAGGCTTGGAATAGCAGTTTTTTAAAGTAGTCCTAGATCTAGATCTAGATATCTAATTGTCTGGGTTAAAATTCAGAACAGAGTATTATATCAGTGAACTGAATAGCTTCCTATACTACAGACTAGATTCTAGATTATATTACAGTAGACTAGATCTACAGGTATCTCAAGATCTAGCCTAGATCTAGTCTAGAATCTATCTAAGACTAAGACAATATGTCTGGAATCTAGATCTAGAATCTAGATTAGTTCTAGATATCTAGATCTAGTTCTAAGCAGAGCAGTATCTAGAAGGTAGATCTTGATCTAGAAATGGACATGTGGCTATTCTCCGGCGTTGTGCCGGTCAATAGATCAGAAGCTATTTTCCGGCGCCGCCGATCTATTAATAATTAATAATAATTTGTCGGCGCAGATTTGCAAATACCTCTCTCATCTGTTTGTCTTGGGAAAAAATTCCCACAACTTTACCTCTTCGTGCCACTTCCATTGATACAGACAATGTTTTCAGACACAAACTGCCCCAATTCCTCCAATTTAGAATTATGTTGGGTGCAAGAAGAAACATGTTCACAATTATTGACGCGAGTTCATAACAAAGAGTGAGCATAAGAAGGAGTCACATTTTCACTGTTTACAAAAATGGAGATATACGACAAGAAAGCACTGAAGTCGCGACATATCATATCACTTAAATTGATCTAAAATGACAACAACAAGAAATTTAAGAAACAGCAAGCTATACTAGATCTAGATCTATATGACTAGACACAAAATCAATTTTGTTCGTTTAAATAAACAGAATCATTATTTTGAAATAAGCAAATGGATGATGGAAATAAATGAATAAAGTTGTTAGACAATTACCATAGATAAAATATAAATATATAATGAAAGGTAGACTTACTAGGCCTAGTATGACGCCGGAGAATAGCTTCCGATCTATTGACCGGCGCGACACACAACAAAGAAGTATGATCAGCCAAGACACTAAGAAATAAATCGTACGTTAGACCAGTCAGCTCATGCAAAATCTGATCTTTCACTTCATTCAGTCAACACTCTCTGGTGCTCAATACAGATTCTCAGCTTCCTGGTGTACGGTAAGCATACAGTGCAAGCTGTGAATTACACTTGATAAGATCTTTCGCCTCTAATAATGAGGAAAATGTGTGTCTTTCTCAAGGACCGAACATCCTCTAACATATTCAAACCCACGACCTATTGGTTGAGAATCCAATCTGAGCCTAATGTAGTATTGGCGCGCGCGCGTGTGTGTGTACATGTGTGCGTGTGCCCATCTCTACTCCTAGATTTCTAGTCAAAATTGGCCAAGACATTTTCGGTTCTTAGAAAGCTGGACATCATGGACAGTGGTATCATACAAGTTAAAATAAATACAAAATGGAACTTGTTCATTTGTAAAGAGATGATTCAGATTGTATGGACTGGGTGGTTGTAGGGCAGGTTTGATTACGTGTGCGCTAGACTTTTAACCATTCGTGTTGTTTTTTTTAGGTTAAAAAAAAAATAAAGTGAAGTGGATGCTAACTTTTTAACCATCCTTTGAGGAGGGGGTAGGTAGGGGCTAAACATAAAAGTTAGTCTATTTTAGTGTCTCATGAGTACTAATGTTGTTGCATTTCCTGTCTTGTCCGAAATAGGAGATGTGATTATAAAATTGCTTTGAACACCAACTTTCCAACTTTGTACCTGTAGGAGGACTAAACTAATTAGTTGTTATAGAGTTTTAAAAGGCTGTAGAAGCCTAAAATCCAAATCAGTGGAATCAAAATGAAGGCTTGCTGCAGCCATGCTGTCATAATACCTTAGAAAAGTTTAAATACCGAATGGAACCGCGAGATTTTAAATGTGTAAGAATCACAACTCTCAGTTTTATTTTCAACTGCTAGATGTTTTTGAAGAGTACAGATGCCCAGAGTAGAGTAATTTTTAATGTGTAGAGCAGGCCTGGTAGACACAGCTTGACTTTCGTTTGTTGCACTAGGATTCAGAAGGGTGAGTTTTGTTGTAGTTGTTGGCCTTTTTACAAAATTTAAAATGGAATTTGTGTGCATGCTTTCAATGGTGTATATATGCTTTTGACATATGTATGATTTTTTTTGGTATTCTTTGACTTTCACATGTGTGTGTGTACTACGCATTATAATTCAGAACCATGGTCTCACAGTGTGAGTGTCTGTGGGCTAAGAAGATAATATTTGAGCGAGGTCATTCTTGGGATTTAAACAAAAATTCAGCTAGTTACAGTCCTTCTGCTGTAAACTTTTAGAAATTAAATATTTGCGCATGCATGCAAGCAAACATCAGTGGTTCTGGCAGTTGTGTAATTGTTCCTGATGTAGATGCAGTCTCACTCAGTGTTCTGTTGACATTCCTAAACACAAGGTGCCAGTCCACTTTTATTAAACTTAACGCGTAAACTTTAACTGTCTACTGCCATGTTTAATGTTTCTGTTCTACATAGTGATCTACTACTATTGGACTGGGTTGACAACTGTTCCACTTTTGTCAGGGGACCTACTCTACTAGTAGGGAATAATAAAGAGTCTGTAGTCTATACAGTTGTTTTTTTTGTCCAATGGACACAGCTCAGGTAAAAGGTGGTCAGTCCGGTGGAACTTACCTTTTAAGATAGAGCAGATTATTGGTAGACTGTCAATTAGTGGACTGGAACTCAACCCAGAGAGGGACTGAGCAGGCAGACACAAGATACAAGACTCTTTGGTTTAATCTTTTAAAAATGTGTAAATTTACGTATTTACTTCATACCTGGAAGTTTGAACTCACTCTATATTTGAAAGTGTTTTTCTTGCCATACACTCTTGTTGGTGCTGGGTTTCCAGCTGTTTATGTGCAACCAATATTATTTGTATACATTTTTAGATTCTTGTTTAGGTAGTAGAATAATGATAGTCACGGTAATTGGCTTAGTTTGTATGCAAAAATGGAGATGTTAATTTGAAGTCATGATCACATTATAAACCTTTGTATCTGATTGCTTGATTATTCAGCATTATTTGTTTCTGATGCTGAACATTTTTTGGTGGATTTTTGCTAGAACTTTAGACTTCCTTTGGTTTAAGCTTTTGAACAGATCAGGTTGTCTTTGGTTCAGACTAGTTGCTTGATAAGTTGAGAGAGAGTATCCAGTCTGTGACTGAGGCTGAGGGTATTGAATTCAGGCCGAAGGGCTAGAACTCATGGCTGTTGGGTCGGAAAAGTTAAGTAAAAGTAGGGTATTGAAAATTGAATGTGCAACAACCCGTCTCATTTTCGTCCCTGATCTGGTCCCGCATAGAGCACCCTTTCAGAAATATGACCACCTAATATTCTCAGAACTCTGACCTGTCAATATACACTGAGAAGTTTTACCAGTCAACACATTCAGAAATCAGATCAGACAACACACTAAAAAATTATTTATAACCACTCAACCTCAAAAAGGAAGTCTGATCAGCCAACACACAACAAAGAAGTATGATCAGCCAAGACACTAAGAAATAAATCGTACGTTAGACCAGTCAGCTCATGCAAAATCCGATCTTTCACTTCATTCAGTCAACACTCTCTGGTGCTCAATACAGATTCTCAGCTTCCTGGTGTACGGTAAGCATACAGTGCAAGCTGTGAATTACACTTGATAAGATCTTTCGCCTCTAATAATGAGGAAAACGTGTGTCTTTCTCAAGGACTGAACATCCTCTAACATATTCAAACCCACGACCTATTGGTTGAGAATCCAATCTGAGCCTAATGTAGTATTGGCGCGCGCGCGTGTGTGTGTGCATATGTGCGTGTGCCCATCTCTACTCCAAACTAAAAAAACAAAACTAGAAATTATAACCCACTTGAAGAGCATGTGTAAAAATGTCTATTACGATTACAATGGTGGGGCTTGTGATTGTGCGTCCGTATCGGATGTTACATTCTGACTGTATCGATCGCTTGTTACTCAGAACCTCAGAACCCTTGTTATAATATGTCGGAGGGTAGCTGGGGGGGGGGGGCGAAGGAGGAGTCCACAGGATCAGGATGTCCTTTCACTGCCATCCTCTCACAGTGCCACGGGCGGGGACGGGGTGAAGGGTGAAGGAACACGGCCACAACACTCTGAAATAGCAGCGATATAATATATATTATTTCTCTCTCTTCAAGCGAAGAAAAGGGGGGAATTGGGGATGGTGCACGCTTCGTCTTGCACAACCAGTATTTAGCTTCCCAGGCCTGCAGGGCGGGAGACACTGGTTCTAATCGTCTTCGGAGAATGGGGAGTTCTTGAACTTACATTGCTTTGAGTTTTTACCCCCCTCCTCTCTCTCTTTCTCTCTCTCTCTCTCTCTCTCTCTCTCTC